CGCGGCCATCTTCGAGTCACTTCATGTAGAGAGGGAGAGAGAGAGAGAGAATAAAATGAGGGAAAGGCAGGAAGGTTAACCAGAAAATGGAGCATCCGGTTTGCTACTCTGCACTAGGGGAAGGGGGAATGGGGAAGAAAGATTGGAAAGAAAGCGAAGAGGGAAATAGACGCGCGCGAAAAAAAAGGGGGGGGGGAGGTGGGGTGCTACAGTCTATACAATAGGCCGCTGCCACGCAAAAAGTTCAGTAAGGTCTTCACTGATTTTTTGTGAGCACACAAATCATGTCGTCTTTCCAGCATTGATTGTTCAGACAAAGGTCTGTCGTCAAGGCGAGCTAACGCAGCAGCTAGTTGCCGTCTTTGCACGCTGTAACGAGGGCAGTGACAGAGAACGTGCTCTATAGTTTCATCGCTTCCGCAATGACCGCAAGCAGCACTGTCTTCCATGGTCACTTCATGTATATTTGTGAAATATGGCATAGGTTGTAGACACTCTAAGAACTATACTATAGTTGAGCTCAGGCAAACGTGCCAGTTACGCCATTATCTGTAATGATTTTAGTTTGTGTACGTAGGAAAGGAAAACTTTTTTTTGTTTCAGTGTAATTCATTTGGTAAACAGATCATGACGTTGCCAGTATCCATGTACAGTGGTCAGAAAGAAAGCTGGGCTTTTACATATGAATACCTTGGTGTACGCACGTTATTTTTACGCAGAATAGTGACGCATCAAGAAAATATTTTGCGAATGCAATGCGGCTATCTTTGTGCGGAGCAGGCCCCAAGTCTTATCTTGCAGCAAGGGTGGCAAAAAATTGTGAGCCTATTAAAATGTATTTCTTTCGAAAAAAGTGAGCACAATATTGTTCAGTAATTGTTTCCCTGCATTTTGTTGTTTTCTTTGGAATGTCAAGGAAAGGGAAGTAAGATTACAATCAGCGCATAGCGTAAGCACGGCCCCCATCTTTTTCGGTTGCGCTTATCCTACGCGAGCACTTGTTTACGTACTAGCCGATCAGGCTTATTCATCCATTCAGACTTATTGGTCGATGGCTTGCGTAGTAACATTGCAGAGAGACAAAGCGGCACTTTGTATGCGACTGCAAATGTCCTGTTCCTATGCGATTTATGTTCTCGAGGCTCACATACGTAAATTGTAGTCAAGATAGGTGTAGTTGGAACTGTATCCGTAGTTGTAGTTCTGGCCGTGACGACAATAGTAATTATATTTGAGATAACCATATGGAGGCGAAAATGCGTGAGGTTCGTGTGTATGAATTTAGGTCCACGTTAAAGAGCTTCAGCTGGCCGTAATTTCTGGAGCCCTACACTATGTTGTTTCTCATAATAATATGGTGGTTTTGGGACGTTAAACTCTCCAAATTACTCATATAATTGAAATAGCCAACATTAACGTCATCATCAGCCAGCAGTGCGCAGCATCGAACACACATTCATGTGTTCATGAAGCAAAGCACAATGATTACAGTTTGCCGAGAAAAAAGGCTTTAAGGACACTGGAGCTTCATCGTCAAGAGTGGAACGTGATTGCGCAATCAAACTCCGTGCGCACTGCCGCCTAAACTACTAGCCTAGCTTCGGTGCATGTCGCGACCATACGGGCACAAACGAATATTCTCCACTACTAGCCTTGCTTGGGTGCATGTCGCCACCATACGGACACAAACACCCTTTTTTTTCCGGTGACAACCAACGACGCTGAATCTTACACCTATGCTGAGACCTGCATTTCTGCGAAAGGAGCCCTTAACGCTATCGCGCAAAAGTCGGAACCTTCACCATCTCAACTGATGGCTACAGAGCGCAACCTCGCGAATAGGAGAGCTATCATTGGGAACCTGACGGGCTGACTGCACAGGAACGAAGCGTGATTGAATAGCTGCTGAGTGCACTACTGTGCTGGTCTCATGGTAGAATTGCGGCCGCGGTGGCCATATTAACTCTGAAGGCGAACATGCTTTAGGCCAGTGTGCTTGCATTCAGGATGGATGGATGGATGCTATGAGCGTCCCCTTTATAACGGGGTGGTGACAAGTATGCCACCAGGCTCGACAAAAAAAAAAAAAACCTTTTTTCTTTTTTTTATGTTGGCCTAATGCCTCTACTTCGATAAATTCTATCTTAATGGAAAAAAAAGGTAAATTTTCAGCTTAAGTTCTCTGCCATTTACGGCACACTGTCCATATTTTATTTTTCCAATATTTAGTTTTGTCCTTTCTCTCTAATTTTCTGCCACCAATACTCTAACACCTTCAGATGCACTTTAAAGGTCGCCACCTGGTTGACATTTCCGGAACCCTCCACTATGGCCTCGCTCATACTGATGTCGTGGCATAGGAACGTTAAACCGCAGGAATTACGTTATTATTATTATTATTATTATTATTATTATTATTATTATTATTATTATTATTATTATTATTATTATTATTATTATTATTATTATTATTATTAATATTATCTTATTATTTATAATAATAATAATAATAATAATAATAATAATAATAATAATAATAATAATAATAATAATAATAATAATAATAATAATATAATAATAATAATAACAATATTATTATTATTATTATTATTATTATTATTATTATTATTATTATTATTATTATTATTATTATTATTATTATTATTATTATTATTATTATTATTATTATTATTATTATTATTATTATTATTATTATTATTATTATTATTATTATTAGCTGCTGAGAGGCAAACGTTCGAAGTAGGTGAGCACATAAATCGTATCTATAGACCATCGTAAACTGCAGCAAAGAAAGAGCAAAATACTAGTATCTTAGCTGAAGCTCTGCAGACAATACTTAGAGTGGCCCAGTTAGCGACGTATATGCTTGTAACGCACCATAGCTCCTATGTCTAATGCGAAGAAAATTTCAACAGTGCTGGAGAAAACACGAACTGACGAAAAGAGAGCGGACACCGATGAGCATGGACCTTCAGCTAATATTTTAATACAGACAGTACACATATGTTGTGAAAAATTTCACTGCGCCACAGAACATGCGACAACCACCGCGAATAAACGCTGACAAGTGACAAAGAAAAAAGGACAGAAAACAGTACCTTACGAGAGCAGTCACATAGGAAAGGTAATTAACTTCCTTTTTGTGGAGGTCAACGAAAGGTATTCTGGTGTATGCATGCCCCAAACGACCAATGTGAGCCAACTCTACAATTTATTTAGTGAGCACATTTTTAATTTTGAAGATTAACCCTCTTTTAAGTTTACCAGGGGCCCATAAATGTCGATGCTTGGCATGTTCTTGGCATGAAGTCCGATAAACTCATAACATGCAGCCGAGAAGACCATGATACATACGTTGGCTGTTTGAGAAGTGGAAGAGTAATGACGTTGGTATGTATGGCACGAAGCGAAGTCTTACGATAGCGGTGTACGCTAAATCTTATCAATCAATAATTACGAAGTAACCTTTCATTTCTATAAAAATTATCATGGTTTAGTCCTATTACTCAACGCTAACTATACCATACCTGTGTACGACATGAAAAATATTAGAAGAATATTTCTCATTTATTGGTTGCAACGCTGAAAAAATGGCAGTATACACAATAGATGAAAACATCGTATACCTAAAGTTTTTGCACAGTTCTGCAGGGACTTTTTGATCTAAATATCACACGCCATTGATGCACATGTTTGTTTAAGGCAAAGAAATATTCTTCCAAGAAAGTTTGAAGAGAAAATTGAGCTGGTACCGTTATAGTATTGGTACTCAGACATCCCATTACCATATTTGGCAGCTTGATCATTCTGTGGGCTGAACGCGATAATGGCGTTATTGTCAACTCTCTGGTATCGGTGTACGCTTAAACACTTGTATTTTTTCTTCGGGGGGATCACTTTACATTGTGAAGGAAGGAAAGAAGTGTTCAAACATGTGCACGAGAGAAGAGATCAATGTCAGTGTGATTCTTCCTTTCTTTCTTGGTCCGCGTTTTCTGAGTTTTTTTTTTCTCCCAAGACAAAGCAATGCTAATGTGATATATACTTCTATCTTTGCAGTGCGTTTCAATTTGCGAAACTGCATGCTGTAAAGCATCCCAAATGCTCACGCACTTTAGCACAACAATATTTTAAACATCCCTAGTTCTGCTTAGTTTGTGACACATAGCACGCATTCAGCCGACCTCTCGAAGTGAAGCGAAATTATACGTACTTTAGTGCTGTCATAAAGTCTACAAATTTGGATGACGACGCTCATTTTCGGCACTGTTATACTCACGCGGGTAAGAATGTTTTTTTTTCGTTAGTCCCACCTTCTTAAGAGAACGCCGCTGGATCTCGACTTGCTTGCATGACAAAACGTGTGGCTCACAAGTACTAAAGGCAGCTTTAGGAGCATTTGTATGCATTAGGTGTGGTGTTCGTTGCACCCACTAAACAGCCGAACTGGAATCATTAGCAATGACAGTGAATTCTACTCGAGCGAAGGTCCAACAGTGGAGCACCGCCGCCATTACTTCGGCTATGGTGGCTTTGTATACTAGCGCATAAAAAGCTTTAGTACACATTGTCGCATGTGACGTTAAAGTCATAAAACTCTCTAGTGAGACGTGCGAGCTCAAGAAGAATGGTGTGGAAAATAATAAATTTGCGAACAATCTATACAATAAAGCACATGTGCAAAGTTTCCCTAAATTGGTGAATACTAATGGTTTGATTTTTATTTGTTTTGTTTAGGCTTAGGCTTGGTTCAGCTTGAGGCACATTCCGCACAATTAGCGTTGGTCACTAATCATGTACTGACCAGTAAGACAATTAGAATGCGCATACCGTCATAGTGGCCGTGGTACTATTAAACAGCACGTCAGTGCCCCATATATATCGTGCTTGCAATAACTAAGTCCATTTTTGGAATAAATACTTAGCACATTTATTGAAGTGGTGATACTAAGTTTCTACAATAAGTTAGCCTAACAACTACAGTTGATGAGGACAATCATCTTTGTGTTTTCTTCACAAATATTGATAAAACATTCCTTCTTTCTTAAGTTTTAGAAACTCTGCCATCAGATAGCGCTTCAGCACTTTGCCTCTCCTGTTTTTGGGCAGCCCTTCAGCGATGGCAATCCCTCCATGTAGTCCCTTGTAAACAGCTAGCTTCTCTGAAAAATAAACGAGAAGGCATGCAAATAACAATTGAATCTCCAGTAGAATATTTCCAACGCAAAAAGGTAAACTTAAGCTGCTTCCCATCGCGGAGACAAAATAAAATGTGACGCACTAGTGAACTTCTGACACTAATGTATCTTATTTTACGCGGAGCACGGATTACAACAGACGACCTGTAGAGCAACGACGATGATGTTTTTCGTTACCGATGAGTTACACAGGCGCACGCATAAATCTTACCGAATCGTAGAAAAATGAGTGATACAGCCACTTCTACGAATGCAGTGTTAAATAGCTTTTGACTATTAGTAGGGACGGCCAAAAAAAAAAATCACTTCCATTCTTTTTGGGCTAGGAAGGAAGGAAGGAAACCAGAAGCCAGAATGTAAGAAGGTTAACCAGAAAAGCGTTTATCGGGCTACTCTACGATATGGGAATGAAAAAGTGGAGCTCAAACATTGCAAAGAAGGAGGGAAAGAATGAAACCAGTGGTGCGCGTGCTTACCCGTGCAGTACTGCAACACTATGACCAGAGGCATTCACGCAAACCGCTCGGGTTACTAGTAGCAAACCAATGTGCGTGTTGCGGTGAGAGTGGTTGACACTCCATGCTCAGACTGTACACATAGCCCAAACACATGACCCGCCGACCTTTTTATTGAAACTTCCTTTGTGTCAACAGCTACCCTGCTTGAGTATAAACAGGTGACTGGCCATAAGCATTTTTTTCATAAGGTTTCAGTACGGTCACCATGTGCTCAAGTAAGCGCTGGACAAGACCCATATTCCTCAAAATCGACGTCCAGAATTTAGTCATCCTGCAGATCAGTATAGATAAAGGGGGTTAAAAAATGCTGGAGTGGAAGCTTCCACTATGCTTTGCCAGCAGAAGGGAAGCCAGCTTTTGCCCTCCAAAAATCTCAGAAACATGTTATTTTCTGGTGGTGCTCATTTAGACATCAAGTGGCTGTGATTTGATAGTGTAAAAGCTACGTTGTATATAAATCAAAAGATAGTTGTTTCCGATAAAATAATCCGCATGGATAAGTACCGGCAACTTAATCGCCAATAAAATTTGCCTTGAATTCAAGGCTTACTAAAAAAAACAAACTAGTAACCCAAGGATGCACTTTGAGCACCATCTGATCCGCAAAAGGTTGCTACGTTAAACTCGTCAGGCATTCGAGGAAAACGTTTCTTCTCAATCACCGAACGACAACAGCTCATCATGCCCCTAGCAAGATGGCGGCCGCAGCCGCCATCTTACGGTCGGCACGGCTTCACTGGTAGAGAAGAATTTCCACTCCGGCAATTTATTTTAAACCTCCTTGAATATAGATATGTTTCTCGAATCCGTACGCCAGATATTCCCCAAAAGTGACGTATACACGAGAAATGAAAAGACCTCTTTGAAAAACGTTAGCTGACATTTTGTTCCACCCCCCCCCCCCCCCCATCCTACCCCGGTTCTAACTTCCGCACCATCCCAGACCTTTACGGCGCTAAAGGTTTCGACTTCGGTCAGCTAGCTTATGTAAATTGGATAACCCTGCTTTATAGGCAGTGCATCATGACTGGAAGTAGCCTGCAAAAGAAAAGCATTGATTCCTGTGTTGTACCTGCCACGTGGTCATTGATGCGCTGTGCGATGTGATCGTTCATGCCCACTTTCCATCCTTGCCTCAGCACAACAATGGCCGCCGGTGCCTCTCCGAGGACCGGGTGAGGCACTCCCAGGATGGCAACTTCGGCAACACAGCACAATTCGAGGACACACTGCTCCACCTCGAAGGGTTCCACCTTGGTGTCCAGACACTTGATGACGCTCTTCAGCCGCTCAGTCACGTAGAGCCGGCCAGTGGCGTCGTAGTAACCAACGTCCCCTGCACACACACGTGTCTGTGACGCCACTCCCATGCTAAATAACTATAATTCAGATACAACTCTCGAAGTGCACCGCCTTTCCTTCTCAATTGTAGATCCACAAAGCGATCCTAAATGGGAGAACGCGTTCGTCCGACGACCCAAGCCAGACAGCAGGTGACTCTGGCTACGGTTAAAATTGACGAGCGTATCAACGGGACTATTTCTTTACTCGTGGAACCGGCCAGCCAACGTGCTTCGTTCATCTTTGTGGGGCCTTCCCGGAATTCACAAACTGTGGCCGACTTATAGGCACTGGTCACTGCTGCCTGGGAACACGTGCTCCAAAAGTAACATCGTCCGTACCAGCAAACACAAGAAATTTGGTTATTTCAGTTTGATTATTTACTCAACAAGCAAGATAGGTGTTCTCAGAGCAAAAATTAAAAGAATTCTGACTCGCTTGAACGCAAGTAGGCTGCTCGTCACCGAGGGGTGAAAGCAGCAAGTTTTTGTGGTCATGCTTGATTAGGAGCAAGTTGCACATTGAGCTGCAACTGAATTCGTCTATATTCCGAATAGCAGAAGCTAAAGAACTGTAGAGATGACCACAGCTCCACTGCTTCACCAGATTTCACAATGTGGTACTGGTTTTAGTCCTTTATGGGCGAAGCTCTTTATAGCGGCACCCGTTTGTCCCTCGTAGCAGTTGTAGTGTGTAACAAGTATAACATTTTGACCTCCAAGGTGGTGCCGGTGAGAGATTTTTTCTGTGGGTTGTTGAACAAAAAAACAGTGCTCAATGCACATGCCAATGGCTGCTAATGGGGAATGAGAGACAGGAGCATGCAGACATTAGCCCATTAGCAGACATTAGCATGTACATTGAGCACTATATGACAAGAAAGGGTTGCCAATTTATACTCGTTGGGTGTAACCTTCTTAGTTTTAGAAAGGTTTAGCGAGCGTTGAGCCGCAGTGCCACGAATACAGTGAACTAGTATATACCATAAACTCGAGTTGGTTAAAGGTGGGCAGCAGACCCGAAGCGGAAGCCGTAAGAAAGTGTGCGCGTGCCACCTCTCGTTTAGTCCTTGGATAGTCCGCTGGATGGCGGTTCTTCTATATGGGGAATATATGATGATAAGATGCGAGATGGTGGTACTTGGAGTGTTGAATAGATGGACGGACGGACACACAGACGGACGCATGGATGGACGCATGAACGGACACAGGGGTAGATGCATGTACTAACGCAGGGGCGGATGCATGTACTAACGTAGGGACGTACGCACGAACAGACGCAAGGACGGACGTGCGGATGGACGCATGGACGGTCACACAGATGAATGCATAGGCGGACGGAAGCAAGAACGAATGGACGGGTGAATGCTTCGCCCCACTCTCCAACATTCACTCCGTGGATACGCTGCCAATTTTTTTCCCTCGTTGTCGGCGATCGCGTTCATGAAAACCGGCGGTTGTGGCGGCGCCGGACAACTACACCATAAAAATAGGCTGTTCTTGAGATCTAGCTCATAACAGCTTTCGCTGCAGAACTAGCAATTAAACTTAAGCAGGAACGAAACGCTAGTATTGGGTCAATATGGCCCATCTGCTTTGTGTGCTGTTCATCTTGGTACGTCTAAGCACCAAGTGCCGTCACCGAACGAACGCAGTTCTGCAGTTGTGTGCAAGTTTTCCCACTGAAGATGCTCCATTACTACTATGTAACAATGGTCATAAGACTGATTTCGAGGTGGCAATCAGAAATATTATTCACATAATCATGATAACAATATCATCAACATGGGCGCCTGTCCACTCACGTGGGCACGGCGAGAAATCGGGCGGAGAAGTTTATCCCGAACGTAATGAAGTACGTAAAACACAATCGAGATTCTCTTCCAACTCCTTTGACTTTCTTCTCTCAGCTGAATAAACTAAGTATCAAAACTGTCAAGTACTTATAGATCTGAAACAGTAGCACTGTCGCCAGAGCCATGTGCGAGGGCACAAATAAATAGGCCTTCATCAGCCTGGGAGGTGACTGTGGGAGCAGCCCCGCCGCGGTGGTCTAGTGGCTAAGGCACTCGGCTGCGGACCCGCAGGTCGCGGGTTCGATTCCCGGCTGCGGCGGCTGCATTTCCGATGAAGGCGGAAATGTTGTAGGCCCGTGTACTCAGATTTGGGTGCACGTTAAAGAACCCCAGGTGGTCAAAATTTCCGGAGCCCTCCACTACGGCGTCTCTCATAATCAAATGGTGGTTTTGGGACGTTAAACCCCACAAATCAACTGTGGGAGCAAAAAAATCTTTGCCACCGGTGGTACACGTTGCCCGGGTTGTCACCATCTTTCCGATTGAAGGTGGTGGCACAAGTTTGAATAACTCCATTTGGGCGGAAATGGTCAGGGCAAGAACCCGACTCGTAGGGTGAGCCGTATTAGCTTGGATGACGATCATATCGTTAAACAAGGATGGACACTGGCTGGACCTGTTCGAAAGCAGTACCACTTTTGTTTTTCCTTTGCGACATATTTTTAGTTCCTTCGACGCTTTACTGTTGGGGCGGTGCGTGGTGTACAAATAAGGAATAGCTGTCGCTCTCAGCTCCCCTCGTAATGCATCTTGCGTGGTGGGTCTTTGCAGAGTGTTGGTGTTCGTGGTGGTAGCCATTGCCAACTGTAGCCACAGTGGATGGAAGATGGTGGAAGAGCACTAAAAAATCAGAGTCCGCTGCTGATTCACACAATGGCTTTCGTTATACACTCCCCACATTACTGCACTTGCACTGTTTCTTAAGAAGATACCCCAATTTGTGGTGCCTTCTGAAGTACGAAGCCGCAACCATTGTCAGGCAGACCATATTGTTTTCATCCTACCTGGGTGGCGGTAACAAGTCAGAAAGAGTAAAAAAAAATACCGGGATATAACACGCAGTGGGGGAATCGTTTTCACGCGAATAAGTCACCCATCACTCGCCATCAATGCCGCATTTTGTTATCTTTGCTTTATGGGAAGCGTTATGGAATGTAGCACCGTCGTTGTGGGAACTGTGCAAACTGCGTGTTTACCAGGAGCATGGAAGACACTGGGCTTAACATAATAGAACAGAAACCAGTTTTATCGAAACAAACTTCGAAAATAAGTTCGATAGGATGCATATCACAAGGAGTAGCATTAGTGTATTCTTCCGTGTTTGAGATAGACAAAGAAAGAGAGAGGAGAAGGAATAAACTTCATTATAAGAAACTAGCAGCTTTAGATGGCCGGGCCTAGGCCTCCAATAAGGGGACGTCAACGGCTTGCCTTGACGCCACCACACCGGCGTGCTGGGTCGCCCAGGTTTGGTCGTCAAGAGTAAGGCTCCGCAGAGCCTCATAGAGCTTCGACGAAAGAGTCGTGGTGTTAATGTGCCTGTACTGTACCGGGAACTTCCACAGCATGTGCGAAAGCGTAGCCGGGTGAGTGCCACAGCACCGGCAATGGGAGGTTCTGTACACATCCGGGAATATGAGGTGAAAGCGGGCAGGTGAGTGATACGTGTTTGTTTGAAGGAGACGCAAAGTGGTCCGGGTCCCAGCTGGAATCGAACCCAAGCATTCTGAGGGGCTGTGAAGCATTTTACCACAGAGCTATGCCAGGTCTCAGAAATAATTTTCAAATAGACGCTAATCTTCGTGAAACGTCAATAGTGATTGCAGTGCTGCCTACCCAATTTTATAAACATTACATATGTACCCCTTTGACAAAGCCGTCACTTCCGGTTAATGTCAATTATGGTTAGGTGCCATGCGCTGGAGTTGATTTATGTAGCAGTTTCCAAGGCCAGCATATTCTTGAGCAGCAGCGCTTCATATCAGCTTCTGGTGTTGCTAATACGCATGTTTCAGTTGGCATTGTTGTGGAAGTGCAAACATCTGGTTATATAAGCATCTGGAACTCTTAAAGACCAGTTTGTGCGCACAACACTTGTGCATATATTTAGTGTCATTTCAAGAAGTGTCGCGCCACAAAAAATTGCAACACGATCACCTTGCCTCCGTATGATTCGCATAACGTCGATTCCCACGGTACTGTCACCCCCTGCGAACACAGCAACGCTCTCACAGTTGCCTCCGAGCAGCTGTGATGTCACGTGACCGAGCGATCGATAATGTCACGTGACGGAGAGGTACGGAGGCGAGTAGTGCCATGCGGCGGATGGTCGCAACACGCGGTAGGAGGTATGGCCTCCAAGATTTTGTGTTGGCACCAAGCTCTCAATTGAAGAGAGAGCCGCGTTCCAGGCATAGTTTTTAGAAGGCGTTGGCTTGATGCTCCTTCGCAAAAAGACTCTATACATCAGTCATGTCAGGCTAGGAATTATGTTAGCAAATGTCAAATTGCGTTGTAGAACAGTAGAATAACAAGGTGTCACTCATTGCGCATAGCACAGTATGGCGTACTGGAATGAAACAGTGTGCCGTCTTCACAGAAAATCAATGGGAGAGGGGTGGTTGCCTTTGCAATGACGTCACTAGAAGGGCGCCACGATCGAACGGTGTGCCTAACGGGCGTAATTTAAATTTACATTGTGGACGTTTATGCAGTTTTTTATTGTGCACTGTGGACGTTTATGCAGATACTTCTGATTTACGATGTAAATCAGAAGTATCTCCAAAATGAAAACACATCGAACACATATAGATGCACTAACGAGACATATAATGCTGCTTCTAAGTATTCTGAGCTCGCACATTCCATATCGCTGAACAGGTATCCAGGTCGTTTGTCTGTTCACTTACTGTTCTGATTTCAAAAGACGTAAAAAAGCACATCGCTATTCACTTGATCCGTATGTACTATGACCTAGCTGTCACACTAACCGTGTTATGCGACGAAACAAGTGAGGAGGACCTGAAGGGTAACGCAATAATGGGGCGAGTTGCGCGACTACCACAGACCTATATGAACCAGGTGATCGCAGTGTTTAAAAACATAACGCCGAATAATGAATACTACTCTACCTCTTCATACATTTTACTCATTAAGGGGACGCCAACGTCCAGG